TCATCTTCCTGGGGCGGCAGAAACGGAGCCATCCGTGTCAGTGGCTGATGGTGGTGCCGGTGTGGCTTGCCACAGCGCTCTGTTCGCTGGCGGGTATTGTGCCAGGGCGTAGAGGAAGCCTCCCAGGGCCCCCACGGCCATGGCTGTGTTGTGGGAGGAGCAGCCATCTGGGGAGAGAGACAGGGTCCCGCCTGGCCTGTGAGTGCTGGGTGGGGCCACAGCTCCATCAGGAGTACTTTTCAGATATTCTCCCAGCCAGCCTGGTGCCTGCAGCTCCACTTGGTTGGGTTGGGCACCCATCTACCCGCTGCTGTGTGTTGCCTGCAAATGGCTCCCTTCTCCACAGAAATGTCTCAGCCATCTGGGATACATCTCCTCCCAATGATGTGGTAATACAGGGACACAAAAGCCAGGCCCCTGTCTTGGGGTGCAACTCTGTGGTTCAATTCAGGCCTGCGCCCCCATTCATAGGATCTGACCTGAGTTCATGCCCTTGTCCAGCTCCTTCCTGTTTCCCTGCTCTCAGGCCCTCTGAGACCTTCAGCATCTCATTGCCCTGTTTTATAGTTGGGGAAACTGAGGCTCAGATAGCAGAGCTGAGCGTCCAGCCCTGGTAATTCCGCAGCTCATTTCTTGACCCCGACAGCCTCCTTCCCTTGTTGCTGCCTCAGGCCTGCGGGAGCCCCTTAGATGTTCTTCAGTCCTCTGAACTCAAAGTAGGTCGCCCATTTTTAGTCTCTAGGCAGGTGGTGGGAGCCAAGACTTTCCTCTCCCCTCACAAACTTGGAGAAAAGAAGAACCCAGCCAGGCCCCTTGGAGGGAGGGAGAATGCAGATTTCAAGGAGTCTAATGACTCACCCTGGCAGCCCACACTTTTCAGTGGCCTACTATATGCCAAATGCCATGGAGAGTGCTTTGCACAGTGATCTGATATTAACCCCAACAACCCTATGAAGGATGCACTGTTTGGTCCCCATTTTACAGATGAGGAAACTGAGTCTCAGGTTGAGTGATTCCCACAGTGAATAAGGGCAGAAGCAGATTTGAACCCACACAGTCTGACTTCAAATCCTGTGCTCCTAATCTCCTGGGTGTGCATCATAAATGAAGGGAGCATGTCACTCCCTCCCAGGCAGTGTTCTAGGCTGCTGGTCAACCACCAGGGATGCCAGAAAGGGCCTTAGGCTTCTGAATTTCCCCAGCTCCTTCCCCAGCTGTCAGTCTTTAGGGAGCTGCCAGCTCCCAGGGTGTGCAAAGCAGGCTCCCTACCACCCCCCATAGGCAGCCCCTTCCCCTCTGTGTCAGGCAGGCCTAGCCGGGGCAGGGGGCCTCTAGAGAGTCTCTCCCTTGCGCGGCCCAACCCCTGGGGGCAGCTACAAAATGGACCCCTTGGATTTGTGATTCCACGCCCCTCTCTTGTCCACCTGCAGGATGGGGTTGGGTGGGGTCGATGAAGTTGATGGGGAAATGTTTAGTTGCTGGAATTATCCCCCAGCACACGCTGGACATCTCATCTGAACTGGCTATTCCACTTCCCTCCCTGCTTTTTTTACCTTGCAGTTGCTTATTTTTTTATTAATAAAAAGATTGAAATCAAGTCCTCTCTTCCTACTTTCTTCCTCCCCCCATCCCTTTATTCCATGTACATCTCGCCTTTCTTTCCTTTCCAATATCATTATATCCTAGTCCCAGTCTCCCTGACTTGGTGAGCTGACCACGTAACTTATTGTTTCAACCAGGAGGAAAAGGGGCACTATTCATAATGGCACCAGGGCAACAGGTGTGAGCTGGGGACACCAGGACACGTGGCCCCTGGGATTGTGCGGGGTACTGGCGTGCTGGCTCTCAGATTCCCTCCCTGCCCTTCATTGCTCCAAATCCCAGTGCACTGACCTCCTCAGCCTACATTTCCCAGGCTGTCTTGCCCACCAGCAGCAGGCAAGTTCCCTGTATTCAGTCTCTTCTTGGGAAACGTAGTTTGAAGTTTCACATACGGATTCTGTTCTCCTGATTAGACTTGGGTGGAGCGGGGTTCTCTCTGTGATTTTCAGCAATACACTGAAACTTCTCTTTTGTGCTCCTTTCACTGAGATATCTCTGGACTCCCCACTTTCCAAGGGGAGGGCATCAGGGACTCCTAGCCTCCCCTCTCCCTCCCAAACACAAGTGCCCTTTGACCCCCCTTCAGTGATGCTAGGGCCTGCTTCCCATTGAGGGCCATCTGTGCGCAGCCTTTCTGGAACATGTCCATTTCATGCCAACAAGGTCCCTTGGGTATTTTTATTACCTGCAAATAGTTTTTCTCGCCTCTTTACTCTTTTCAAATAATGCTGCTGGTGCTGAATGACTTTCGATGCTGCCTCATCTTCAGCATCTGGGAGAAGGGGGAAAGACGAACTTCTCAAGATGGATTCTTAAACATTACTTGCTAAATCTCCTCCCCCTCGCAACGTCTCAAGCCACTCAGCTCCTCCCTTGGATCTGGAGGCTCTTCCAGAAGTTTCCTCGAGCACCTGTCTGCAGACCCTTCCGCAAGGCCTAAATTTGTCATCTACTAGTATTTCTGAAATTGTGGTTCCCCCAACCACCCACATCTGAATGGTCAAAGGAGCTCATTAAAAATGCAGGTTCATGAAACTAATACGATATTGTATGTCAACTGCAATTGAAAAATAAATTAAAAAAAAATTTTAAATGCAGGTTCCACCCTGGCTGATGTGACTCGGTTGGGCATCAGCCTGTGCATCTAAAGGTTGCCTGTTTGATTCCTGGTCAGGGAACGTGCCTGGGTTGTGGGCTTGATCCCCAGTAGGGGGCGTGCAGGAGGCAGCTGATCGATGTTCTGCTCTCACATCGATGATATTCTCTCTCTCCCTCTCCCTT